GTTTGGACTATCGGATATCAGAAATGGCAGGTTATCGGATATGAATTAAGGAACAGACCCGATGGATCGATTTTTAACCGATTATGGCAGGTTATCGGTTTTGACAGGATCGGTTTGGGGAGGGCCGACAGTATATATATATATAATATATTCGTTTTTTTTTTTTGTCAATTACACATATTGTATTTTTAATAAGTTTCATTATTTCTAAGTATCTATTTTTTTTATTATAAAATCTCAAAATGTGCGACGATTGCGGTTTCGCTAAAAACACTATTCAACAACAATTCATGAATACTCAAAATGAAACTGACCCTTTTTGTTTCATGATATTAATCGTTGCATGGCCAATATCTTATACATCGTCATTGTATTTAATTAGCCAATTGCTTTTCTTAGCTGTAAATTGCCTATGAAACTGATCATGAAGCCGCATAACAATAACGATAATACGCATTTATAAATTATTACGTATATCACTTAATTTTGATAATCGCATCATTTCCATCAAAAATTTTCGCCCGAATGTATTATTGACTTCAATAGACACTGCATAAAGTTTATGATCAAATTGATGCACGTATGATCCATATGATCCAACCAATCACATGAAATCATATGAGTGCTGCCAATAGAAAACCGCTTTCAAGCTTTCTACATGCCGTCTATGAGCAATCCATCTTCGGATATTCAATTATATTTCGTGTCTGATATACGGTATGTCCAGCACAATATATAATTGAATATCCGATAGTAGATTGTCCATAGGGATGTTAACAGTCCAGTCTGGTCTATTTTGGTCCAGGTCTGGTCTGGTCTATTATGGTCTCCATTCTTAAGACTTTGTTAGTCCAGACCGGTCCAGACTGGTCCGGTCTTAAGACTTAGAGTAGACCAATTTTTTTCGAGTTCAGACTGGTCTTAAGACTAACCGTGGTCTATTAGTCTAAGACCGGACCATATAACATCTCTAATAGACGGCATGTAGAAAGCCAACTGTACATTGAAAGACCGATGACAGGTTTTCTATTGACAGCACGATCGTGTGATCACGTTTCTTACAAATTACATGAAAACCATTTTATTGCACGGGTCTTATGTAACAACCCGTGCTTTTTTCACTCATTTACAGCACGTGTTTAAAAAAATAACTAAATCGGAACACTTTCATATTTTACGTACGTATCAAATATGAAAGTGTTCTAATTAAGTTATTTTATTTTTATTAAATTGATTTGTCTTCATATTTTTAAAATTTTCGATAGAGCATTAGGTTTTTACTTTTTCAAATTGTCATTGGACGGTGTTAGCATTAATTTGTTTTCATATTTTTTTTTGGAATGATTATTATAGAATTAGTCTTTCTTTAAAGTCTTATTGAAGTCTTATTGAAGTCAGGCGTTATTCTATCTTCGTTTCTACTCGGTTCTTTAAATTCATATTAAATAGAATCTCACATTTTTAGATTTTGCAATTCCATCTCTTTCTTTAAAATTCTTACTAGACAAAATCTCGTTTTTAGCATGTTATTAATTTTTACTTTCTTTAATTCTTGTTAGATTAGTCATATTATTAAATCCTTTTCTTTTATAATTCTTAGTATACTGAATTACTCATTATTAAACCTCTGTTTTTAAAATTATCATTAGGCAGGTTATTTATTATTAAGTCTTCGCTTTCTATATTACACTAAACGGAATCATGTTATTTTATTTTCATTTTTCATTGAACAGGATTTTTTTTAAGGTTATATATAATTGGGATTTTGCTTGATTAGATTTAGTTCTTCGTTTTTTAAAAAAATTCCTATTGGACAGAGCCTTCATAACATCAACACTAAAATTGTCCTTTTAAGGTGAGGATAGCAACCAAAATTCAGCATATCGACCAAAATTTAGGGTCGGAATCGGCTCGGAGCTAGGCCGGTATTAAGCGATAATACAAACTAACTATACTAAAGCAAAATTATCATCTGGGCAGTTTTACTTAGTACGTGGGCTACCATTTCATTAGTAAAATTTTGTGTGATTTTGGGAGAAATTTATCAATTCCGGACTATTCCGATCCTAAAGTTTGGTCGATGTGCTGAGTTTTGGTTGCTCCGAACACTTACATAAGATACATTTTTAGTATTACGTTCAATGCCGGCACCTCCGACCAGGATTCCGATGCGCTCCGACATTCCGACCCGGAATTGTGATTTAGGATTCGAACCCTAGCGAAACAATTGGTTCATTGAAAAAAACGTTTCTCTAAGTTTACGTACGTACATACGTACGTCCCAGTGTTAAATCTAATGTTTTCAGTGTTTCAAAAACATTAAAATATTTTTGAGAACACAGTCTTTAAAGATTGCATTTGAGAACATAAAATTTTATAAAAGTAGTCAGATCTTTAGAATATTAAAAATTTTTGGGAACTTAAAAATTCGAATATGTGATAGCGATAGTAGTAACGGTAACAATAACGATAAGTTTGTTTCGGAGGTGATACAATACAATCTAAATTTCATACCGATTTCTGACACTTTTACAATGATAATTTAATCTTAATATTTTATCTCATAAATCTGATACTTTCGTTAACCAAATCATGTTGGGAAATTTAACAGCAACAGCGAGAGTATTCGAACGTACGCTAGTGCTTTCCAATCACAGAACTATTTACTTTTTTAAACCCTGCAAACATGTTATAAAAATTCGTTCTTTTCATAGTACCATTACTAGACCTTTCGCAAACTCGTCGAGTGATTCGCCTACTGGTAATAATTCTCCCTTAAAACCAGCAATAGATAACAATAAAAACAATACTGCCACTTCAAATACTGCGAAGGAAACACCACCTTTAGCAGCTGCCAAGGAGGAAACTGAAAATGCTCAGCCCCCTGAGGAAAGTCAGTCTCAACCATCTTCAGACAACAATGCAACCGAACATGTAGCTGAATACATTTTACGTTCACCAACGAGACGAAAACGTTCTACTACTCGTTCTCGTACACGCGTGTCAAAGCCATCAAACTCTTACAAACCAGTGATACCTCAATTATTTTTGAAAGAAAATTATTTGCCAATTAAAAATAATAAACATTCTTTTGCAGCAATGAGTTACCCCTTGGAAGATGGGATACGTGATGAAATTTTGTATAGTGCGCGTGCAAATCTTTTTTCTGCTCCAAAAGGCAATGGCATACCTGCGCGCCGTGGTCATTTACTGTTGAATTGTCCAATTGAAGGTGCATC